TAAGTGCAGTACACATATTTTACCAGAAGAATTGTAGCGATATTATTCTCTTTCACTTGCAGGCTCAAGTCAAGAAATTGTTAATCCGGGTTTTGATGATCATCCACAACGTGGCCATGACCGACGCCAACATTCCACTTTTACAAGAATTGAAATTTGCTCCCGTCCTGAAAAATTACCTTTCATTCACGAATGACACAATTAAATTGACGGCAATTCTCGGACTCGCGGATATCATGACGGAAGAAGAGAGCCACTATGTAGAAACCAATAACGAAGTCATAATATTCCTCCTTATGACATTTAAACGAGCATTATTTGCCTCGTCCCGAACAGCTAAAGACGGCAATGGAATGATTTGGGGTGTATTGGAACTTGCTAAGGGTAAGTGTAGGGCTTCTGTAGCACAGTCAGAAAGAGCCGTGGAATCACACCATTTGCTTGGTTTTGTTTGCTTATGAAAGTCTGGGGAACTTGAACAAATGATCTTTCCTCATTATTGCAGTCGACCCAGCTGAAAAAATCAATGCCAAAATATTGGACAAGCTGATACAGCCAAGGTAGAATGGTTCTTTGTGAACCTAAGTTGATATCCTTGTAAAAAATGTTTTTTTTCTTACCTTTCTGTTTTTTGAGATAAATCCGCTCTGTTGGTTTTATACCACTGGGCAGAAGCGGAACAGCTTGGTGATACCACAGTCCCTTTATTTTTTTTCTGATATATTTCTTCTGCATTGTAATCTAACGCGTTTTCTACTACAGCCCCGTTCAATGAAACATGTGTATTCAATTAAAGCGTGAAAGATAGAGCACGTTTCTTGATGAAAATGACGAATTGTGGGATAGCCAAACACGAAGTGGCTGTCATATTGCTCTACTTTGGATTTCGCTATCCCGATTGTGTTCACAAAATACTCTTTGATTGGTTAAACATAATGTCATTAGAACGGGACTGCATGTGGTAGAAAACTTGTTTGATTGCTACAGTAAGAAGGTCTTGATGCCACAACCTCTTATACCATGGGCGATTGGTGAGTTCTGCACGTTCTGGATTCATAAAATCATGCGGACATTGAATAAAACAAGTTGGAACAGAGTATTTTAAAATTGTATCCACTTATCCAGAAATCTTTGTTTCATTTTTTCAGGAATTGGGCGACTAGCTAGTAATGATGGTAACAAGAAATTACTGGTTGAAAAAGGAAGTTTACCACTCCTACTTAAACTAGCTAAATCAGATGACCTCGAAGAACAAAAGGGTAGGTCAAGGTCGAGGTCAAACTTTCTGAGCCTAATTCTTATTTAGCAAAAAGTTATTTGGACAGATTTAACTTTTTTCTGATGACAAAAACTGTCATTGTACCAATCTAGTTTGTTGAGATCAGAAAGTAAGCATGGCGACAAATATGGCACTCAATTTGATTTGTGTCGAGTACCAGTTTATCCTTATCCGGTTTGTGCCTTATTGGTGTAAGGATAATTGTCTGATATGATATACTCTAAAGAGTAACTCACCTTTCGAAGAGTCTTCTGTAGGAAATATTGTCTATTTGGTATTAATTTTTCACTCTACTGTTTTGTGTTACAGAGGCATTGAAATCAATGTGGGCTTTAGCTTTCAATGAAGAAAATCAAGACAAGATAATCGAGCTACCGGGTTTAATAGAGTTTTTAGATGATAAGAATAGGACTGGATTCTCGGACACCAGGTCTACTTGTTACGGTATTCTGTGGACTATGAGGACCAAACTTCAACAGTCCAGTCAGTTTAAGGCCATAGGTAAGTAAATATTCACAAGAGTTATCTTTCTTGAAAAGACTTGTCTTTCTTGCAAAGAGTTGCCTTTCATAGAGGAAACATCAGGAACTTTCGGTTTTAGAAAGATTTTAAAGGGTAATCTTCCTTTGTTCAATCCGATTCTTTGTTAGTGCTGAATTCTTATCAAAACAGACTCTTTGATTCGAGTTTTACTGAAATCAACAATGAGCGAGTTGTATAAGCGATGAACTGTAAAATCTCCATGTCTCCAAAATCATACTTTTAACCGGCTATCTGTTGCGTTGTAGGGGATCGTCTGGTTGTCAAGAAGACTATGTCTCCGTCCAAGACATTCACAGAGAAGGGAGAACTTGAGACGTCGGAGAAGGACAGCAAAAACAAAGGTCACGTGATGATCAGCTACCAATGGGGAGACCAGGAGATCTTGAAGCGAGTTCGAGATAAAATAAGGGGAAGTAAGAAGAAAGTTTGGATGGACATTGATGATATGGAAGGCAGTACGTTACAAGCTATGGCTGATGCCGTAGAAAACGCTGACATTGTCCTGATCTGCATGTCCAGAAAATATAAAGACAGTCCTAATTGTAGAGCAGGTAAGCTAAGATTAGAGTTAAGGTTCATTGTAAAACATGATCATGGGTAAACTGGGTTCCGTTGTTTCTAAATTGTTAAAAAAATATATAAACATGATCGGAAAAGAGGAACTTTGTTTTTTCTGTAATTGAACCCAGAGAACACTCGGTCTACATCCTTGATAACCAATATGACAAAATTTTTTTGAATAATCAATAACTTTTGTAACATAACTATAGTCTTACGGCGTGTGAATCTTTGGGGAAATTGCTACACCCGAGGAATCTTTGCTAAATTCAAAGTAACGTTTCATTAGATAACCTAATTTTACTTAATTGAAAATATGTAATTTGGCGTCTATAGATATCTACAGATTGGAGTCGGTGTTTAATGATCTTTTCCTTCTTTGACTTTTTAGAAGCAGAATACGCTCATCAGCTACGAAAGACAGTTATACCGCTGATCATGGAGAGAAGCTACAAGCCAGATGGTTGGCTCGGTATGATCCTAGGAGCTAAATTATTCTACGATTTCAGTGGAAAATATCCTTTTGAGAGTAAAATTGAAGGTTTGTTAAGGGAGATAAGTCAAAAATTGAATCTTGGTGATGGTGCCGTGGCGGGACCAACCGGAAGTAAAGGTGTCGATGTTGTGGACGGCCCCGATCAGGTAATTTTTTGTTATCTTGAGTTATTCAGAGACATTATCATTAGCAACTAATATTATCACAAGGAAATCTTGTATCTTGTTTCTTCGTTGCCTATTTCTATATATCTTATAAACAGAACATATATGTTTATATATAAGTCGCAATTCACATGTTAAAATCCAAATAGACAAGCTGGACACATAACGTACCTATCATGGTATATTCAGGTTAAAATAAAAATGATATCTTCAAAAAATAAATTCCATATATTTACAGAAAATAGTACCAGTTCAAAATGATATGGTGTACGCCCCATATAAAGCCCCACCCCCTAAATTAGGAGAAGTCAAGTCTTGGAATGCTGCTCAGGTCAAAGATTGGTTGAAGAAATATGGTTTGTCGGGGTAAGTCAGGATCATTCGTTGCCTTTAGTTTTGAGCTTCCGTGTCAATGCGTCTTGCCCTGTAAGACAAGGCTCGTAATAGCTTGACATTGTGAAGGTAAAATATTATAAATATATTGTAGATTTTTTATTGTTTTAATGACAGAAAGATTAGTCTATTTACATGTTATGCAATTAACATATTCGTCATGAAACCAAGCAGATCAAAATGTTAAAAGCATTAGAGATTGAAATAAAAATAAAGAATTGGTCATTGTATTCCAAAATATTGAAATCGACCAAGGACCCAGGAAGGGTTAATAGAAAGAAAAAGGTTTAAAAGCCCTGGTTTTATGAATCTAAAATGGGGTATAGTATAGATAAACAGGTTTATCCATTAGTTCTTAATACCTAAACGTCTTTAGAGATTTCAAATATTTTGTATTTTTTCCAGAACGAGGGTAGAGAAGTTGACCGGTAGAGAAATAGCCTTTTTACAGAAATTACAAGCTTCGGTAAGAATTTTACCCTTTGTTGCAATTCATACTTAACTCATTAATGCGAATAGGATACCAGGTTGCAGTAGAAAATTGCATTACCATGTGTTATGACAATGTATTCTGAGGGATACAAAGGGCGTGTCTTGTTTAGACAAACCCTAACCTTGCCTTAAGCTACAATGAAATTGACATGCCTTTGCAGGACTTTGATCAAAGAAAGTAATTGTTTCATCAAACTTCCAATCTGTAGAGGCCGAGCTTTGGATCATAGTGCAAAGTCTCAATATAGTCATCAACATTATTCTAAAATTTCCATGTGTGTCTGGGGACACTAAAAGAGACACAGACGTCTGAATGACGCAAGTCGATGCTTTCAGTGATTTCTACAAGACAATCCCTTTAAGGATTAAGGATTAAGATCCACTGAATTTCTTGTTTCAGACACCAGAGTATTATTATATGACAGTAAAGACTGATTTGGGCATCAAAACCTTAACAGATATGGCCAACTTTGAAGAGGCAATGGACGAACTTCCACAGTTGAGTTAATTGAAATTTGTCTTAACTCGCATGCCAATCGAACAGGTGCATCGGGATGGTTCACAAACCCCAATACCAGTCATCTGATTGACAAAACCACCGTTTTATTTCCAAACCAGCGCATCTCTTCCAGCCGTTTTTAATGGAATCAAAACCGATAGAGCATCAGGATACCGTTAATAAATCAGGTCCAGATTGGATTTCAACCTTTTTCTTTTTATTACCCCTTTTTGGATCCTTGGTCGATTGCATAGCCTTCTTAACCCTATAAATCCTTACAATTTCATGATTTTCTCTTAGGTTGTTGCAATGTTTTTCATGTCAGAAAAGTAGGACGTAAAACTCCATTCGTTTCACTTCATTTTTTCATGCCGGAGAATATATAGCCTGACTGAATAGAACGACTTCCATTTTTTTGTCCAAATTTTTTATGGTAGATTAAAAAGCAACCTTCCCCCCCCCCCCCCCCACCCCTCAGCAATTTAAAAAATTTCAAAACCCATGAATAGCAGCCAACATATATCGAAGGCTATGAATATCATTATGTGTGTAGATATCTTTCACTGTTGCCTGTGATAGTTAATATTTACTTACTGTTTATGAATATATTTGTTTATTTTAATATTTGTTGATGTTTTTGTTATGAATAAATGGATAGAAAATCTTTTCAAATCCCTGTCGTTTCTGGACAATTGTTAAAAAGTAAATAAAAGTAGGGGAGAGTTGTCTCCCAATGACCATGTGGACTGCTTTATCCTGTGTACGTCGCAGTGCATTTGGGTTTTCGGGTTTTCGAGTTTTTTTCAGACCTGCCGTCTGACGAAATGTTATACATCTCATTTTCTGAGACCAATCAAACGGTCTGTTTAATAAAAGGTTTGTTACTATAAGTGAGAAAGAAAATAAAAAAAAATTAAAATTCGATTGAACGTGAATTAAGGAAGTATTTTGTCAGATCTAGAATGATAAAACCATACGCTATTGAATACTGAAGACATTGATGCGATATATCGATGATCGATATTGTATCGAACGATCATATCGTGATATATCAATTTATTGCCACCAGTCCACAAAACGTTTAGTCCTGCACTTAATCACAAACACATACATTATATAGACTCAAGGATCATTAAGCCACAAAATGTCAATTGCGAAAAGTAATTAAATATATTCTTATGTCGCTAATACTTCGTGAAATTCAAATAAAACCGAAAATAGATATTAAACTTGTTTCATTTCAACATTCAACTTTAAAGTTGGGTTGCGCTTTATTTCATTTAGAATTTTTGACACACGACCTTGTTATTGTTTTCTTTGTGGCAAAAAATCACATACATGTATATCCTTTCAACTTTGTTTTATATCACCGTCAATATGCCAGAGCTACAATGTCTGACTAATTCAACCACTATGAAAAAATATGTATTTTTATAAAGATTTTTATTGTCTGGATAACCAAGGAAAAAGAGTATAAAATGAGACAGTTTAAAATCAAAGTGGATAGACGCGCCAATTTCATATTGTAATCAGGGTTACAACTTCATATTTTTGAAAAATTTTTTGAAATGAGTTCATAAAACAAGGACATCATTAAAAAGCCAAATGTCCTTTCAATATAAAGATTAATTAAATCAATCTAGTTATGACCAGACAGGACTCATTAGTACTATATTTTCTCTTCATCTTTTGATAACCAAATGGAAAATATTACCTCAATTAATTCAATTTATTTTATGTGTTAATCACATTATTATCGCAACCATACATTTTCATATATTCATTTATTTTCATTCTTATTTTTTGTTTATCATTTTATAAATATGTTATTGTAGTTTTATGTAGAAAGATCCCAGGGAAGATTGCCTTGTGCAACTGGGTTTCTAATAAAGTTATTATTATTATTATTATTATATTATTCTTTTGTTTCGAATCTGACACACACACCTCTTCGTAATAAATTATTTTTAATTGTTTCGAACATTAAGACCTTTTAGTATGTTAAATTTGAGTATTTCTGAAATCAGATTTATCAGGGATGCGACCTTCTTAATGAAATCTGCATAAAATGTGTTACCATGAAAGAACTTCAACCGAGATCGATTTCTGGATCCTCCATCCCACCCCCAATAAAAGCATCACAGTTAACACGGTTAGGTTGGTTGGAGATAGATAAGAGGGGGGGGGGGAGGGGTCAGTAAATTCGCTCACATAGCTGGCAATTAACCCTCACTCATCTTCACAAGGTCAAGGTGTACGATCTTCGTCGTATACCTTGACTACAATAGGCACTATTCTTATATCCAATTTGACAGAAAGAGAAAAAAACCGACTCAAAATCTCTATTCAGCTTCTAGTAAAAACCGAAGTGATTGGATTGGTTTCGTGCTTTCTAAGTCTTCAATACATACACACTTATTGCGTGCTTATTGTTCTCAACAACTTGAAAAAAATTAAATAATTATTTTTCAGTGATTTGCTCTCGGTTACCTAATTTTTTATTTATTACTTGAGGGGAACTGGTTTAAATATATTAATTCTTAGACGTCTTTATCAACTTTTCTACTGTAAGAATATCTGTAAAAATCTCAAACTTAAGTAATATTTGCAAAGCTATGGTGAAAGTATCTTGAAAATAAAATTATTTAAAAAGGTTATTATGAAATGAAATAATAAAACAAGGACTACCCGCTCTATTGACATTATTGAAAAGCAAGAAGTCAGTCAGGTCCGGCAGTAAATTCGCCCACTTTGCTGACAATTAACCAACATTCATCTTCCCAAAGTCAAGTTCTACTACTGTATCACGTAATGCAACGATAAGATTGGGTTGTACGCAAGGGGATAGAGCCCTCGATAGAAAGACTTTTTGTCGAAGACTAAAATTTGCTGTGTTCGATAAAGTACAATCCAACAAAATCACGGCATTTACAAACTTCTGCGATACAAGAAAGATCATGGAATTGTTTGATATTGTGAAGATGACTCATCGGTCACTGTCACGAGGTATTCCAGCTTTAAACAAGAAATAAGTGTAGCATCAAAACTTGTTCCGAATCGACTTATTTTACTTTGACGTCTATAATATACTTGACAGCAGACAGGTTTAAATTATTTTATTGTTTTATACCTTTTTTTGTAAAGGTTGGTATGATTTGCCTCCTCACCCCAATTGTGGATAATATTACCAGATCAGTACTATAAAGCAAATAGGTGAACAGAATTGATTTCATGGCGTCATGAACAATGTAGTATTGGGAATTCTCCCTACGACCCACAACGCTTGCTTGGTTGCACAGTGTATTGACAAATGACAATATTATTAAAATCTGTACTAAAAGCAGATATTTATAGAAATTTAATTTGGACATAAAAGTGTCACAGACAATGTCGGGTATTACGAATAAATCCTACTACCCTGTCTTAACCTCATTGCATTGATCTTCCCAATTGCTATTTACATTTTGAGTGGCTGGAATGCAAAGCATACTTGAATCCAAACATCGAATCCATACAAGTAAGGTCAGATATAAAGGCTGACTGGGGGAAAATTATTCCCGCCTTCTTAAAATTGAAGAATGACACTTTTAACCAGTTTTTCAACTTTTCTCAAATTTGGGTGAATTTTGAATTGGATCAGTACATATCTTTGGTGAGTAGATCTGAATTTTTATTAGTGTTAAAGGATCTTCTCTTGAGTTTCAAAGTCGACTCATGGTGCAGTTGAATTCTTTTAAAATTTTAAATTGACCATATGACAAGGATAAAATGACTATTATGACAAAATTTTGAAAAATAAGCATTTTGCTTTTAGAGTTTCAAAGTCGATTAAGTTTGAATTTTGGCACAGGTTTTGGCATAATTTATTGTTAATAAAAGTTAGTTAGTTACTTTCGAATTATCTTGGAGTTAAACACTTTTCTGTAAAGTTCAGAGTAATGGACAACTATTGCAAAGATTCAAAATGGTAAATTTTTTCATTTCGAGTTTTGATATAGGCTCATCTTTTCCACTTTTAACATGGATTGTAAATAAGGTAGTGGTTCATTATTGTGGAATCTGCTAATGGAATGTAAAGAATTATCACCTGAACTGTTACACATGAATGATGCCATATACTGACTGAAAAGTTACATGTCGACGGTAAAATACATTATATGATTTTTAAGGACAAGACACTCTAAAAGGATACTATCGTTTACTTAAGACAGCGTCTTATTTTGCCATAATAACGTATTTGTTCATATATAATAATTCCCATTGTGTCTTGTTTAGGGCGGTGTCGGTAATGTGACGCCAAGAAGAAAGTGAGGGTGCTATTAAAAAATCATCTTTCTTTCGCATTACTCCTACTGTTAACGAGCTGGCCAGACAGGTAAAGCACCATTGATTTATAAGCTTACGAAGAATTGCATTTTTGTGGTAGCTAATTTATGACATCTCGACCACTTCCTGTAATCTATAACTCGGTAATAGTGAAAGTATTTATTAAATCTTTAAATGCATGTGAGAAAAGTACTAGTATGTTTTTTGCGATGTGGCACAAGTACCCTTCATGAATAGAAGTCTGTTCACATGGCCGTAACTGCGAGTGCTCTTGTTTTCAACGAGGATAACCCATATTTAACTTCCGCCTTCAGACAGATTTGATATGTTATAAAATATAAACATAAAGTTCGATAAAAATTCCACAGACAGAATTTCATAGCTGAATTACGTGCAGAGGCTTCCGGTATTCAAACAATATTTTTGGTAATTTATTGCCTCCAGGGTTATCCTTCATAAAATATTGTATTTTTATGTCAAATTAATAATAGCATGCTGATATTATGTAGACTATGATTTGTTTCTTTCATAGCCAATACCGACGACCATGAACTTCGCCCACCAAATATTCACTTCTACCGCTTTGATTTTAGTGGCAATGACACCTGACATCACCCTGGCCTATTTTCCAATGGGTCCTGGATTTCCCGGATTTCCCATAAACCCCAAAGATGCACCTGACGTCGAGTCACCGGGGCCTGAGTACAGCCATATGGCCCATTTACACAGTGACGGTTTAAATAGAATCCATCACAACAGCTTCTCTGGTGATCCATCATCCATGGATTTTGCAGGTGATCCAATTGTATTGGAGGGTACTAACCCAATGCATTTTCAACACAATCCTATTCCGATGGGTGATATGCGTACTGACCAAATGAATTATCCACATCATTTTAACCCCCTGGGTGACAAGACACATTCTATAATAAATCTTCCTAGAAATCCAATGGCAATGGGGGGTATGCCTAATCAAATGCCAATGGGTATACCGTCTGTACCAACTGCAGGAATATACCAGCAAACTGGTTTTCCGAACCAAAGGAGAAGTCTTAACAAACCGGCATTTCTAAAGGGTATATTAGGTAACAGAGCAACAGGTGCCCGTTCTAACAGCAATACATTGACAAGGATGTCCTCTACTCTGCAAGATATTGGTAAACTGATGGGGAAGAACGACCAATCCTGGATGACTGCAGTACGAGGTTACTTCAGGAAGGTGAGATATTTCTTTTGAACATGCCTTTGGATTCTGATACTGTCGTTCTTTACATTTTGATGGACTCTATAATTGTGTTGTATTGACACCTTTGTTATGATAGTCATGAAGACACATTGCCACCACCAAGGTAGTCATCGTACCGTTGCTAAAGGAACATGGGGTTCACTAACCTATAGCACGAGACCTATAGACGAGACGAGTTATTAAATACTTGGATTTATCAGTCTGAGCTTTAATCTGGAGTATCCTGAAAGGTAGTCCGAAACATCTGTCTCAATTTCAACCTCTGGTAGCTATTTTGACAGTTCTCGAATGGAGTAGCCTAGGCCACAAACTGTAAAAAATAGCTATAAAGGCAGGAATAGAGGCTGACGTTCCGGTCTACCTGAGAGGCTGTTGACCCAACCGGATGTACTCACTAGGGGTGACTCATATTTCCATTTTTCAGATATCTTTACTATATAGATATCCCATACGTTGAAAACTTGATTATCAATTCCTATCAGGGACAGGAATATAAAACTCAGTCTGAAAATCAGAGGGTTTGGGCAAATCACCTAGTGATACTGTCCTTAGAATTTATGGCAGTGAAGATCAAAGAGAAATTACATGACACTTTAATCTTCTGTCAGTGACAACTCCAATAGTTCAGCGAGTTCAAAACTGACTCTTTTGATTTTTTTTTATCTCGGTAAATTATATAACGTAAGTAAAAGGTGCCATATTTCAAAAGGGTATAATCAAAACTGGTTCTGTCTTCATATCTATGTCATTAAATAAAGGCCAAAGAGAAATACAACAATGTTAATAACGCCCTTGGAGACCGGAAGTCGGATCTTTTTTCTGGAAAATGCAACAGATAAAAATAGATATTTATTATATTGACTTCCTGAAACACTTGAATATTAATTCTGATCACATACCAGTCGAATTTCCATTATAAAATCCTGTTACAGGAGGCAAAAATTCGAGTTCGAATATCGAAGGAACCGTAACTTTTAATTTTTATTATTTATAATAATTGGTAACACTTCAAAAAATAAAACAACGTTTAATAAAGGTGTGCTACCAGTCGAACCTTAGTCTCATAAAGGTTTAAGATAAGTCAATCAGTAGTAGTTTTCACAGCTAACCGTAGAAATTGGAACCTTCAAATCCACGTGTGTCCAAAATTATCCGCGCTCAAAGCTGGGTTCCCTTATTTTCTTTTATGAAAATGAAAATGCTATACTTATATGAATAGAAAGATGTGTTCTTATGTCACATGTCCATAATTAATTCATAATTAGCTAAATTAGAAGAGAATTACCAGAAGAATTCTAATGAGTGTCCGATCAATGAAAGGATGATATGTATAAAATAGTGAGTAAAATTCCTAGTCTGAAATATTTTAAAGGAATTGTGCGATTTTCTTACATTTATAGTATTTTTGAAGACTATTTACATATATTCAACATTCAAATCAACCCCCAAAAATGGAGCAAATGTCTTTTTAACACGTAATTCCCTTTATCCTCTACCCAGGACGCAAATTACAAACAGACCGTTTGAACCTCGAGTTACGTCAAATAGAGTCAGGCGTCTAATAAATTTTGATTTTTATGACAATTGTCTTATTTTGACATATTTTGAAGTTTTAAATGAAATTGATGTTAAAAGTTGTGATTATTGAAGACATTTTCTGTGTTAAATAATTTTACTGCTGTTCAGTTTGACAGAAAACATTTATCTCTTTCCGACCCATTCATTGTTGAATTAAAGATCATGCTTAAGTTTACCCTTTCCTTTTCAACTGGTAATGTTTGTTTTCAGTTTACCTTAATCAATCTTAGAGGGCTGGTTGAAAAGTTCTAAGCCTAACTCTGAAATACATGTACACATATCAGATCAGATCAATGGTTTTCATTTATTTATCTACAAAGTCTAGGTTTACACACTTTTGCCAACGGTACTTCGAGGCCTGGATTCAAGTCAAGTATATACATTCTGCAGCCACCCTAAATGAGTCATTCACAGCAGAAATGACGTCATTATTTGGCTACTGGAAAAAAACAAAATAGAGAGCGGATACTTCCTTTCTCAAGTTGGGAAACAGCTGGAGATCTGAGGGGCCAAATTGGACCATAAAATGATGGGCATGCCATCAGGGAATTGACACGTTTCTGATTCACTGTCAAGAGCTTTGGCGGGTGAATAATTTCACAAGACAGTCTGGTATACAGACAATAATACTACTACTATTGCAGTTCTTATGTTTATGATTCATTCTATGAGTGTGTTTGTTGGTGGCAAAAGTTTGTTTTAATCCGATTGAGATATCTCACTTCGACTTATAACTTTTCAGCCAACCCTCAAATATCAACCATTGATTCCGTGAACAAATTATTTGCTTTCCTGGCTCCTGTCTTCCTTCGGTACACATGTACTTTTTTATACACATTGTTAAAATTGTTCTTGGCTCTTTCAATTAAGGTTAATGCAGGGATTAATCTTTGTTTTTCTTCAAAAAATCTATGAAAATTCGAAAGAATATAGGCTTCAAAGGAAATTGTAATCCCAAAATAGCTTTCGTCAAGATAGGGTGGGTTCACGACTTCAAGAAACACACACAGACCAAGCCTTATTGCCTGTCTTCCTTCGGTACACATGTACTTTTTTATACACATTGTTAAAATTGTTCTTGGCTCTTTCAAATAAGGTTAATACAGGGATTAATCTTTGTTTTTCTTCAAAAAATCTATGAAAATTCGAAAGAATATAGGCTTCAAAGGAAATTGTAATCCCAAAATAGCTTTCGTCAAGATAGGGTGGGTTCACGACTTCAAGAAACACACACAGACCAAGCCTTATTGCCTGTCTTCCTTCGGTACACATGTACTTTTTTATACACATTGTTAAAATTGTTCTTGGCTCTTTCAATTAAGGTTAATACAGGGATTAATCTTTGTTTTTCTTCAAAAAATCTATGAAAATTCGAAAGAATATAGGCTTCAAAGGAAATTGTAATCCCAAAATAGCTTTCGTCAAGATAGGGTGGGTTCACGACTTCAAGAAACACACACAAACCAAGCCTTATTGCCATAATGATAGTTATTTGATTGCACCATGATTGTAACAATGATAGTTATTTTATTGTCACCATGATTATAACAATGATAGTTATTTGATTGCACCATGATTGTAACAATGATAGTTATTTTATTGTCACCATGATTGTACCATGATTGTAACAATGATAGTTATTTGATTGTACCATGATTGTAATAATGATAGTTATTTTATTGTCACCATGATTGTAACTTTATTGTCATCATAGGTGTAACAATGATAGTTATTTTATTGTCACCATGGTTGTAATAATGATAGTTAATTTATTGTCACAATGATTGTAACAATGATAGTGATTCTATTGTCATTATGATTGTAACAATAATAGTGAATCTATTGTCATCATGATTGTAACAGTGAATAGTTATTTTATTGTCATCATGATTGTAACAATGCTATTTATTTTATTGTCACCATGATTGTAACACTGATAGTTATTTTATTGTCACCATAATTGTAACAATGATAGTTATTTCATTGTCACCATGATTGTAACAATGATAGCTATATTATTGTCACCATGATTGTAACAATGATAGTTATTTTATTGTCATCAAGATCGTAACAATGATAGCTATTTTATTGTCACCATGATTGTAATAATGATAGTTATTTTATTTTCACCATGGTTGTAACAGTGAATAGTTATTTTATTGTCACCATGATTGTAACAATGATAGTTATTTTATTGTCATCAAGATTGTAACATTGATAGTTATTTTATTGTCACCATGATTGTACCATGATTGTAACAATGATAGTTATTATATTGTCATCATGATTGTAACAATGATAGTTATTTTATTGTCACCATGATTGTAACTTTATTGTCATCATGATTGTAACAATGATAGTTATTTTATTGTCACCATGGTTGTAATAATGATAGTTAATTTATTGTCACAATGATTGTAACAATGATAGTGATTCTATTGTCATTATGATTGTAACAATAATAGTGATTCTATTGTCATCATGATTGTAACAGTGAATAGTTATTTTATTGTCATCATGATTGTAACAATGCTATTTATTTTATTGTCACCATGATTGTAACACTGATAGTTATTTTATTGTCACCATGATTGTAACAATGATAGTTATTTTATTGTCACCATGATTGTAACAATGATAGCTATATTATTGTCACCATGATTGTAACAATGATAGTTATTTTATTGTCATCAAGATCGTAACAATGATAGCTATTTTATTGTCACCATGATTGTAATAATGATAGTTATTTTATTTTCACCATGGTTGTAACAGTGAATAGTTATTTTATTGTCACCATGATTGTAACAATGATAGTTATTTTATTGTCATCAAGATTGTAACATTGATAGTTATTTTATTGTCACCATGATTGTACCATGATTGTAACAATGATAGTTATTATATTGTCATCATGATTGTAACAATGATAGTTATTTTATTGTCACCATGATTGTAACTTTATTGTCATCATGATTGTAACAATGATAGTTATTTTATTGTCACCATGGTTGTAATAATGATAGTTAATTTATTGTCACAATGATTGTAACAATGATAGTGATTCTATTGTCATTATGATTGTAACAATAATAGTGATTCTATTGTCATCATGATTGTAACAGTGAATAGTTATTTTATTGTCATCATGATTGTAACAATGCTATTTATTTTATTGTCACCATGATTGTAACAATGCTAGTTATTTTATTGTCACCATGATTGTAACAATGCTAGTTATTTTATTGTCACCATGATTGTAACAATGATAGTTATTTTATTGTCACAATGATTGTAACAATGATAGTTATTTTATTGTCACCATGATTGTAACAACGATAGTTATTTTATTGTCATCATGATTGTAACAATGATAGTTATTTTATTGTCACCATGGTTGTAATAATGATAGTTAATTTATTGTCACCATGATTGTAACAACGATAGTTATTTTATTGTCATCATGAATGTAACAATGATAGTTATTTTATTGTCATCATGATTGTAACAATGCTAGTTATTTTATTGTCACCACGATTGCAATAAAGATAGTTATTTTATTGTCACCATGATTGTAACAATGATAGTTATGTTATTGTCACAATGATTGTAACAATGATAGTTATTTTATTGTCACTATGATTGTAACAATGATAGTTATTTTATTGTCACCATGATTGTAACAATGATGGTTATTTTATTGTCACCATGATTGTAACAATGATAGCTATTTTATTGTCATCATGATTGTAACATTGATAGTTATTTTATTGTCACCATGATTGTAACAATGATAGTTATTTTATTATCACCATGATTGTAACAATGATAGCTATTTTATTGTCACCATGATTGTAACAATGATAGTTATTTTATAGACATCAAGATTGTAACAATGATAGTTATTTTATTGTCATGAAGATTGTAACAATGATAGTTATTTTATTGTCACCATGATTGTAACAATGATAGTTATTTTATTGTCACTATGATTGTAATCATGATTGCAATAATTGTAGTTATTTTATTGCCATCATGATTGTAACATTGATAGTTATTTTATTGTCACTATGATTGTAACATTGATAGTTATTCTATTGTCACCATGATTGTAACATTGATAGTTATTTTATTGTCACCATGATTGTAACAATGATATTTATTTTATTGTCATCAAGATTGTAACAATGATAGCTTTTTTATTGTCACCATGATTGTAACAATGATAGTTATTTTAATGTCATCATGATTGTAACATTGATAGTTATTTTATTGTCACTATGATTGTGACAATGATAGTTATTTTTTATTGCCACCATGATTGTAACATTGATAGTTATTTTATTGTCATCATGATTGTAACATTGATAGTTATTTTATTGTCACTATGATTGTAACAATGATAGTAATTTTATTGTCACCATGATTGGAATAATGATAGGTATTTTATTGTCACCATGATTGTAACATTGATAGTTATTTTGTTGTCATCATGATTGTAACATTGATAGTTATTTTATTGTCACCATGATTGTAACAATGATAGTTATTTTATTGTCACCATGATTGTAACAATGATAGTTATTTTATTGTCACCATGGTTGTAACAATGATAGTTATTTCATTTTGCAATGGGATAACTAGAATTGGTGAATGTGTTATTTTTGTCATATGTTGGGTATAGTACAATTATTTCCATAGGATGAAAAAAATAGAAATAGAAAGTGTCCCTTTGTGTGAAAAAGCACATTTTTTATCAAAAGAATTGTAAAAAAAATATCTCTTCGTCATTTTGATAACTGTTTCAGGTTACTTTTTAAACCGAATCGATATACTTTCAAAGTTTTCTTTTGAGATTCATTATATTATGTCTGGATTATTGATCTTTAAAGCTATCATGCAACAATTACGATTATCGAAATCATAGTCTTTCCAGTAATTCAAAGCACCTCCATATTACAGATGCTGGCTCAGAAGAAGTTGGCGCAACAACAACAGCAAATTACACAGCAACAAATTCAACAGCAACGACAGATAAGACAACAACAACTCCGACAACATCACATGGTTCGTTATTCCCCTGAACCCTTTTTTCTCTTTCCAATGTGTGCATATTGATCATACTAAGTTTAGAACCTTCCATAATCTAGCATCTTGGCCGTTCTCTGCGAATAAATCATGAATGAACGGTGGTGTTTTCATATAGGACCACCG